TAATATAATATAATATAATATAATATAATATAATATAATATAATATAATATAATATAATATAATAATTATATTAAATATATTAACTTTTGAAAAAAAATCGTATTAGTGGTCCTCAGAATTTAAAAGTATGAATTTGGTGGGCCCTGAGATCCAAAAGGTTGGCGACCCCTGATAAAGACAGAATGACAACCAGATGGATTTTTAAGTGACAAAACATATTCCATGAGTGCTCCTTAATAGTACTACATCTACATGGAGAGAAGCAAGCAGGGGGTAGATACCAAAAGGTTCCGTCTTAGGGTCAGTACTCTTCAATATCTTCATACATAACTTAGATAAGACATATAGTAGAACTCATCAAATTTGCAGACGATACTAAGCTGGCAGACATCGTAGATGAAACCTGGCTCAAAATAATAACAGAGGAATCTTGGGAGTCCTAGTGGACAATCACTTAAACATGAGCCAGCAATACGCAGAAGCAGCCAAAAAAGTTAATACAATCCTTGGTTGTATAAAGAGGCATAGAATCAAAATCACATGAAGTATTAGTACTGCTTTAGTAAGGTCAAGTAATACTTGATCACCACTCTACAAAAAAGTTGTTGAGATTTTGGAAAAAGTGCAAAGAACAACTAAGATGATTAAAGGCCTGGAGACAAAAACATATGAAGAACGATTGCAGGAATTGGGTATGGCCAGTCTAGAGAAAAGAAGGTGTGACATGATAGCAGTATTCCAGCATTTGAGGGGCTGCGACAAAGAAGGGGGGGGGGTCAACTTATTTTTCAAAGAACCAGAAGGCCAGACAAGCAACAATGGATGGAAACTAATCAAGGAGAACAGCAACCTGGAATTAAGGAGAAACTTCCTAACAGTGAGGATAATTAATAAGTGCAACAGCTTGCCTTCAGAAGCTGTAGCAGCTTTATTATTGGAGGTTTTTAATAAAAGAATGGACAGCCCTCTATCTGAAATGGTATAGGGTCTCCTGCTTGTGCAGGGAGTTGGACTAGAAGACCTCCAAAGTCCCTTCCAGCTCTATTCTGATTGATTGATTTAAATGACTCTTTACTATTGATTCTAAGATAAATCTGAAATAGCTGGAGTGTTTATAGATACCAAGCAGAGCAAGAATTCTAGCACTCAAACCTACAGCTGTTAAAAAGAAAGCTTAAGAGGAAAAAACAACTAAAGGATCTTTGCTTGCCCTTCAAAAGGTAATACAGTCTAAGTCTACCACTATTTATAGTAAGTGTAAATGAACTATAGGTACACATAAGCTTGCATATGTTTGTTCTAAATAACTATCATACTTAGTTCATTTGCCAAAATAAATGATTTCTGAATATAGCTAAACCACAATTTATTCTTTTAGCAGGAATCAAAATTCATTAAGAGATAGAATCTCACTCTTATTATTATTACAAATATATTGTTGTTACCTCATACATTGTAAATTTATTACACAAGACAAATCAATGGGTCAAACTCAAATATTTCTTGTTAATGTTTTATTAGTGTACTTTTTTCCAAGCTCCTTTGTTGGACAAACATAATGGAAACTCCAAATAAAAATTTAGAGTTTTCAGTTGTTCAGAACAAGAGAACTATAGCATTCCATTTCACCCATTTTTTTTGTTAAAGAACATATTGATAGAACCATTAGGCACGCAGTTGACACATATTATACAATTTTATGCACATGTCACTTATATATCTTCTACATATTGATGTGCTCTTAAAGATTTTTCTCCTTGCAAAGTAAGAACTATGCTTTTTTGAGCATAGAAAAAAATTTCAAGGAGTGACAAACCAGACTTTTAAAACAAGTCCTTAGATAAGCCAACACAGCAGCAATAACTGAATATTATACATTATTAATATAGTTTACCCTTGATCTCAAAACCTTGAAAGTGTTTTTACAATTATTCAAATACACATGCATTACATGAAAATATTGCACTAAAGTTAGAATTGAGAGTGGAATTCCTATTTTATTTTTTTAAATGATTACACTTTCTGGTAGCATTAAAATTGTTTAGTTGTAGCAACACCAGAAACAGAAGCTTGAGGATGAACTATATAAATATTCAACCTTACTATCCATTCTCTTAAATTAAGGCTAAATAAGTGCATTTGTTGGACAATGGCACGTTTATTTTCAGAGGCTAGCTGTAGCTTTCACAGGTTGGGATGTGTGTGACTAATTATGTGCAACAATAATGTAAATTGTATGGATGCTTTAAAGGGTATAAAATGATGTGAGTTAATTATAATAATTTATTAGGGCAATGTATATAACGTGTTATCTCCCTATAGGCTCATTTGAAATTAAATACAGATGACAAAACACTATGGTACAATAACTATGAACATAAAAGGCATATTGTGTTTCCTTAATGCAAAGATTTATTGGCTAAGAAATAAATTTCTAAAGTCAACTACTAAGAATAATCCTAAAACCTAGAGATGATATTCATGGATAAGAGATACATTCTATTTTACTGACAGAGATCTGTCCATTTGTATTTTAAACCTGGGATAATCAACAAGAATTAATTCAAGTTCAAGTAAGAAATCAAAGGAAAGTTCTAATTTGTCTCCCATTGGGCTTCCTTTGTCCGATAGTCTATGTAGATTCTGGTTGCCCACCACTTGAAAAATCAACTGCCTGGAACACAAGGACATTTAGAGGTCAATAGACCTGTTGAGAGAATGAAAGTTTAAATTTCAGGGGTAATTTAAAGGACCCAATATTCCTTTAGCTAAAATGCAAAGACCACCAGAATGCCAGGACCAAGTTTAACCATAGAAGTACTGGTGTCCTATTTTTTCTATGTAAATTTTTTTTTGTTTTTAAAAATAGAAACATTTATATATCTAAATCTCATTATAATTTGTATAGCCAAACTATTTTTATCTTTTCATTAAGAAATGGGAAAAAAGAGAAAACAAAAAATCAGAAATGTATTAAAGAAGGCCAACTATTATCTATATTTAGAAGCATGGAGCATAATAGACAGGAAATGATACTTCACGTATTTTATCTTAAACTGTCCTGCTACCATTAAAATGTATTACACATATAGTATATAGTTCTATAATAATATTTTTTGTAAAAAGCCACAGTTGCAATTTAGCAAATTGCAATTTACATGCTTATTATAATAAACATGTAAAAAATTCTTTTTCAGTTTGGTCAGTACTAAGCAAGCTTCATATTGTTGAAACAATGCTGCTCCTTTCATCTTTCGTTTATTTTGAAGCTAAAGATTATTTTCTTCTGACTATAAATAGCAACGTCAGTTACAAGATCTTTGCAAATACAGTAGTATTCACACTCAAAAAACATTTCTTCAAAAGAAATGAACCAAATATTTTTAATAAAAATGTTCAATATCAGACTAGTACATTAATATAGTAGTTTGGCTATTCTTAGGGATTTAAACATCTTTTTAAATAGATGACATAATATATTATTTTGAAGTTGAAACAAATAAACTGTACTTTCTTGATAGTTTCAGGGATTCTTGATAAGAAAAAAATAAATAAGAAAAAAAAAGTAAATTCAAGTCCAAACAATTCATTCATAATTAGACATTATGTTGGAAGTCAAGAAAACAGATGGGGCATTCCATGTAGAAAAGATTTATTAAAATTTATAATATGCAAAAAAATATTAAAAGCTATGATAATGCTGTTTATATTCCTTCATATATATATATATATTATATTCAGGAACTTGCTGTTTTTGCAGATAACTGTTTAGGAAGTCCGTAAGATTTTTATATCAGTAACAACTCATTTTAGTAATTTACCAGCTGAAGTGAATTTAAGGTCAAATTTAAGAGTGATTTAAGGTCAAATAGGACAATTTTTTAAAAGAAATTTCTAAAGTAAAAAGCATAGTACTTTTGTTTGTTTCTTTCCCAATGTCCCACATTATTAATAAGGAAATAAATTTACTAACTCTTGGTCTAATTTTAAATATTGTTTTGAGCCGTCTCATTTAAAAGTTGTATGTACCCTTGAAAGGACTAATTTGAAGAATATATCAAGACCCTTAAACCTATTTTTTCCTAACCTATTTCACTGAATAGTAAAACTTGAATAAAGTGTTTCTTAATAAGTTCATAAAGGTTTTCTACATATTAAACAATTTGGAAAAATAATTTGAAAGCACAGATTTTTTTTAATAACCATTTGTCTACTAAACTTCTCATGCTAGTCCAACTTCTGCAGAGCTAGGGAATATTCATAATACAAATCAAATCACACTTGGTTCTCACATTGCACAATCTCCTAGTTGCAAGAAAAGCAGTCAAGTCCTCTATTTCTATCCTAGAAGTTGTGCTTTACTTTAATCAATGTACCCAATGTAGCATTTTTCATTGTTGGCAATCACAATCTATAAGATTTGGAAGAGACAGAGATTTTCACAGCAGACTAGTAATCTTCTCATGTTACATAAAGATACACCAAATCATTTAAAACACCTGAATCCAGTTCATGATAATGGTTGCATTAGTGATGAAATGAGAAGAACCACATTTTCATGTATATATTAATTATCTAATGTAAGATTCTAAAAGATTGGTGTGAGAATAAAACACCATGAGTTAAAACTTGAGTTTTAAGCCCCAGAGAACATGCCCAGGTTTTGAGCAAATTTTTACAGTAGGAGTGTCACCTTTTCTGTAAATAAGATGATTGTGTAGATTGTAGTTTGTTTTTATATATCTGCATCTGCTTCGAACGTGAATGCAATTTTTTGAAGAGATCATGGAATCCATACTCTGAAAATAAGGTTTCCAAGAAGCCCTCCAGGAAAACATATACCATTCTCTTATTTAGCTGAGTATGCTGGAACATTTCAAAGACTCGGAGAATGCCTTTTCTTGTTGTCTCAGCACCAAGGATATGCTTCAACTCATCTATAGAAACCACACAAAAAAAAAACTTCAGTAGAAGCTTTATCTTCATTTTCACAAAAACATTAATTGAATGAACTTCTGATTATAAATTATTAAAAATACTGTTTAAAATGGATTCCATAAAAAGTTTAATATTACATTCAAGAAAGATTACTTTTTATATAAGTATTATTTCTCAAATTGTTTTATAAAACATCATTTATATGGCGGGAAAACAAGGCTGAATTTAATTATTACATTTGATGGTATTTCCTATCTCTCTTCAAGAAGTAATTTATTTTAATACATTCCACGTACCAGGCATTACTCCCAGCAGTTTTGTTTTTGCAGCAATTCGTGTTCGCATTCTGATTGCATTATCTCTGTGTGGAACAGTTTCAGCTAAAATGCCATTTGGCCAAAAGGCATCTCTAGAAGGAGACAAATATATTTATTAAAATGACTATCATTTTAGAATTACAATATCTGAAATAGTGCTGTTACCAAATGCATCTTGCCTATGACAGATTTGTATGAAATAAATGCACAGCACTTGAATGGTTTTTTTCTTCTTGATAAATGTATGTGTATTATCAGGCTAAGCTTTTGAGTGATTTACTGAATTTATAATGTTTTTGGCATTATACCTATGACTGTATTCCAGCTTGTAAGGTGTAGCCCAATAAAACAATATTAAGCTCAGCAATCAGTAAAATCTAGCTAGGTGGTAGATGCAAAGTTACATACACTCTCTCCTCATTTACACTCTCTTTCCAAAGACTGGTTATTACATGAACAGATAACTGTGATAAGGAGACTGCAAAGATCATTGGTTGCTGCTACTTCATTCAATAAAATTCTATCCTAGAGTATCCTGTGTGTGACATTTCTACCTCTTTTGCCTCTTCACAGGCAGATTAACTGCTTAAAAAGCCAACTCTTCCTGAGCTGCCTTTTTCAGCAGCATAATGCTTCTCAATTAAAACTGCAAATTAACAGGCTCATCTTTATGACTTTAACTTATAGAACCCTCTGGGCAGCTGCTGCTATTGCCTGAAACTAACCAGACATTGATCAGTTTCACATTGAAGACTTTTGTAGTCAGGTACCAGAAATTTAGTGATAAATGCATACATTGACTAGAAAATGATTTTTAAATTACTATATTTATGAATGTTGCATTTGTGAATGTTGCTAACCAATGTAGTTACCAAATGAGGAGTGATTGTACAGCTATCCCATTTAATCAGAAGCAAAAGCTTTTTGGGACTTCCGGTTTGAAGGGCTTCGGTGACAGACAGGAATCCGCGATTGTGCGCAGTTTCTGCCTGGGCTTGCCGCTGGAGCGCCCCGAGCCGGCTGGCTTCGGGGCTAAGCCACCCCGTAGAGGTGGTGAAGAAGGGGGAGACTGCCAGCAGGGTCAAGGAGAGCCGCATCTCTCCTCCTCAGCTGGCCAAACTCCCTTTCCCGAAGGCAGTAGGAGCGGCGGTCAGAAATGGCCACCTCAAAGAAGTACTCAACCGGAAAAGAAAGTGCAGGAGGAAGATAAGAAGTGAAAGTTTTGGCTGACCGGGTTAAGCTGAAAAAACAATTAAGGTACCCTGGAATTTAAATTTTACAAAAGATAACACTGCTCCCAAAGAAGGTCGGAAGCAGCAAAAGAAAGTGAAAAGGGAAAGGTTTTTTTTTCTCTTCTCTCTCCTTCCTTACATTGACAATTAAGAATAAGAAATTGGAAAAATCCGCTTTGGCATCAATAGGCAATTAAGCTGAAAATATAACTAAATGCCAAAAGGACAATAAAGATTTCTGGACATTAAAAACTTTTTCTTTTATAAGCAGGAAGGGAGAGGAAAAGAATAAGGGCAGGATCTGGAGGGAGGAGACTGCCTGGATTTCAAAAGAATCTAAAGTAAAACTTCAACAAGACTTCCAAAAGATACATTTTAACAGATTTTGCAACTAAATAGTAACCCCAGGAAGAGAAAGTGTAAAAAGAAACAGCTGTGCGTATTTGGACAGTCTGGTGACTTTTGGATTTTTGGTTATTATAGTTGAATGACTAAAATCAATTGGGTGGTTGTTTAAATTGTTTTACAATGGCATCACTTCTGGATGAATTGAAAATGGAACTTAAAAAATACAAAGAAGAGGCACAAGAAGGGAAGGGCTCTTTTAGCTTTGTTTTTCAATTCTTAGAAATGGAGATCTCCAACTATGAGAAACAACAAGAAAAGACTGCAAAACAAGAAGACTGGGACAAAGAAGAAGCCATCTTTAATGAACAAGTAACTCTATGTGGGGAAGAAAGGGGAAAGGGGGGAAAGAGAATGGAGAATTTAAGACTTAAAAAACCAGCCAAAAAAGGGAAAAATAATTTGAAAAGTGGATATAATGTTGGAAAGCAACAGAAAAGGGGAATACAGAAGAGGGAAATGGAGGTGGAGAGACAGGGGGGTAAAAAGGGGAGAGAGAAGAAGAGAGGGAAGAAGGAAAGGAAGAGAAGTTATAAAGGTTTGGAGCAAGATGTAAAGAAACAGGACCTATTTAGAGATAATGGGTGAAAATCTAACTGAAAAAGGGATTCTGTGAAGGTACATAAGATTGTATTATTATATTTGTAATAGAAATAATTTTAGAAAAATGGAAACAACATATGATTAAAAAGAGGGATAAAGTAGTTGGTGTGGTTTGGGGAAAGGTTTGTGAATAAAATAAATGAAATAAAATAAATGAGAAAATTGAATTAGGAAGGAATGGGAACATTTTAATTAGTCAATGTTTTATAAAATATAAGTGAAGGGGGGGGAATTAACTATGGAAAGTTCATAATTGTTCTCATAGAAGTATGATACTTATTTGAAAAGTAATGTGCTAAATGTTAAGATCTAAATGAATATTAATATTAATGATAGAATTGAATGGAACGGATTGTTGTTTTAATTATATTATACATGTATAATCTTTTTTACTTTTTTCAAGAATACATTGTGTAGTTTTAGAATGTGCCAAGCAGAATCCGATTGAAAGTTATGTATTATATTAAGTGTTATAATTTTAGGGGAAAGATATAAAGGCATCATACTCCAATCAGTGATTACAGGAGAAATTTTGTTTAATGAGAAAAGATAGTAGACAGTTGAAACAGGACAGATAAATAATATAAATACAGTGATTTGAATTGAGATGAAACGAATAAAATAAAATTAAGAAAGTTAAAAGAGGGGAGAAGCTATGTAGAAAATGTAGAATAGTAATAAGATATGGAATGGAATATAAAAATGAGCATGAACTTGAATTGTTGTCTGTACGAAGAGATGTAACCCGGGATTATGCTGCTTTCAAAAAAGATGTTTTACTTGTATTTCTTTTCTTTTTGTGAAAACTCAAATAAAACTTACAAAAAAAGAAGAAGCAAAAGCTTTGAACTTTTACTGCACCTTTTCTTTTTGTATCTATGTGTAAATCACTTGCTTTCTACAAAGTAAATATTTTTGTAAATGGCTAATAATATCCTACGCCTTAATAAGCTCTAATGAAGAGTAATTTATTTTGTAACTACTAAAATTAATTTTAAGGGAACCTTTCCCTGTTTTAAAGACCTACCTAAACCGTTTAACTGCATCTGCTACTTGTTCAGGAGATGTCATCCAATCAACATGATCAACTATTTTTCTGAAAGAAATACAATTTCTGAATTAATCTTTTTGAAATAAATATTTGCTTTCATATATCTGTATCCAAACTAAATTATTTGAACCTGGGTCCCACTAAAGTCACAAGAACATTTCTAAGGTCAACTACAAATGACTCCAACCCACTTCACAATAATTTTAAAAAATCCTTTTGACAAAGAATAAAAAATACAATAGAAGAGAAGAAGAGAACAGAAAAGGATATGCTCCATTTATACATACTCTCTCTAGTAACAAATTTATTGCTGATACAATTGCTAGAGTATTTTTACATTTTGCAAATATGCCAGCTGAAAACATAATTTGCAGAGTATCCAGATTAGGGAAAGCTCCTATGAAGTCTTTGTGGCTTATTAATAACGTCATACAATTCCTGAGAATCAGAAACAGCTAATCCTGATAATTATGATGAACTTAATTTAATGATAATTTCACTCGTTTTCCCATCTAAACGAAAACAGGTAGATAGGAAGATGGGGCACAACTTGTTATTTTAGTTTTATTAAGTAGATAAAAAAAACTGGAACATAATAAGCAATGGAATCTCAGCTTCTGTTTCTAAAAAGAAAACAGAACATCTATTTATGCATTTTCTTACTCAGAAAGATGGAGCAGTAGATGTCCAGAGTGTTCAGTTACTCATGCCCTAGTCATTTTTTTAAAGAATATCATAATATATTCTACAGGGAGCTGTTCTTGAAGACATTTTACAAAAACGCAGCACTCAGATAGTGATTGATGAATTCTAAGGGTATTCTCAATGCTTTGGGAATTGAATTGTTTGCCAGTTAGTTTCTGGGCACAATTAAAAGTCCTGTGGACATCATTATCTGATGGATCACCTTCTTCTATATTCATCTGCATGCCCAGCACATAAAATATTATCAACTTTCTCCAAGTCCTATCCATACAAGTACGTCATCTGATAGGTTCTTTAAAAAGGAATTTTTTAGAAGCTTCTCTGCTTGTTCTTCCTCCATGCAGATATTTAGTCAGCTTCATCTTTCCTTGGTTTTATAAAAAGAACTACTTGTTTCTTCTTGAAAAGGAGAATGATGTTGTATTGCTAAAGGTGGGGTTTGCAGATGTGTGACTTTTATTATTTCTTTTTTTCTTTTCAATTTTTAATATATATATGTTAAATCTCTCTCTCTCTCTCTCTCTCTCTCTCTCTCTCTCTCTCTCTCTCT